AATAAAGAAGTTTATGGAAAAGAGAAGGAAAAAAAATAGATAAAGAATCCTTTTACAGGCCTCAAATTGTCCAGTACCATTCAACATTATGGAACGCATAAGTTTACTTTAAAAATGCAAACCTTTTTCACTAAAAAGCATTATTTATAAAACCAAAGCCCATGCACTGAGCCTCTTCTATTCATGTAAGGTGATTTTCTTGGAATTTCAAGAGGGAGACAGTCTGATGTTCTTTTGGCATTTTCAGCTGGTGGCTTTTCAATAAAGCCTATATATACATTGATGTCTTTGTTTTTCATTTACCATTTCAAATGTATACGATTTAAGCATCATCACTGGTGTGGCAGTAAAAGGTAAAACGTAAAAATAGAATGTTCTATAAAGTGGCCTTTAAATGGTTTTATGTATTTATATTCTATGTAGGATATGTAACAGATTGTGATAACAGAATCAGATATAATCAAATTGCAGCCTTACAAATATAGCAAATATCATGAAACAGCTCCCTTCTGCTGACTCAAAGAGTAGGAGTTCTATTTCTTTCATTATATTTTTTTCTATAACAGCCTATCACCAGCAACACCTTTGCAGCTTTCCCCCTGCTTTGTCAGTGTGAATGTCCCCACAGTAGCACTTTACCTACATTTGTCATTGATTCTCTCACATTGGATTTTCTGCTCTGGAGACAACTAATTGAGTGGCTTGAAATATAAAACTTACGGCTTCTACCCTCTGTTTCTCAGTTCATATAGCAACACAGAAATCACTTCCCAATGCCGAAAACCCCAAGACCTTCAAACTTTATTCAGTTTCCATGGTGCTGCAATTTATTTTATTTTTCTAAAGCCTGCAGCTTTTCACATGTGTTATTAAGGGGAGAAACCCATTATCAATATGTAAGCATCACTACAATTAAGATCTGCTGGCTGTTATGTCTGAATGTGAAGGAGGACCTATGATCATTCTTGAGTGACAGCTGTTTTGTATACTCTGTCTGTCTAATCTTGGGTGGGGCTTAAACAGGTGCTCTCAGATATTTGTAAACATGTCTTTTGCATTCTTTTTGTTTTCTTTTCCCACTGAGATTATTTTATTGGGAAACTAGTTGATTTTCTGTTTTATTTTGGCTATTTGTTCAGTTTTCAAACATTTGTTTATATTTTCCTCTTTTTAATACTAAATTGCATTTTTTTTTTCTTTTTATACTATTTGCTACTCATAGAAACTATTTTTTTACTGGATTCCTGCAGTGGGAATAGTCTTGTACCAGTAGGGGGAGCTCATATCATGCCTATTTTATGGGTTGGAGAAAAGGAATTTTGAGGGTTTGTGTTCTTAAGGGTGGAGCTATTTTAATTCTAAAGCCAACAGAGATTTTAGGTTGGAATAGATTATTTCCTCTGGTTGAAAAGTTCAAATTTTCTAAAGTTGTAAATCTTGAGTACATTAAGTGTTTAAGTGGCTTTGATTAATGAATCTGCATACCACAGGTGAAGTTTTCAGACACTTGAAATACGGAGGCTTTAAAACATATTAAAAGATTTCTTTGCTGAGATGTATTGGCAAATTACTTTCCTCCATAAATAGTAGATACAGAACCTGGTTTGAAGGGCTTTTCTGTTTTTGTTTTATGATTATATGTCAATATAAACAAGGCAGGTGCTGATGTGAATGGAAATGGACATAAAGGTTAACTTATTTTTCTCATAAATGTCCCAGGTCATTATGCTTTTGAGTCATTTATCTTTCTCACTAAATTGGCATCAAGTGTAGCCACAAAGGCACCAGGATCATGATTAGCTAACTTTTGCCAAAATCAGTAAGGAAACAGAAGCTGAATTCTTCTTCTACCCTTTTTCTTCTTCCTGGGCATTATGATTCTTCTATGAATCAACACATTTCAAAATACTGTCTGTAATTTTTTGATCTCTAATACAGTGGACATCAAGCATCTCATCATACAGCATTATACTTTTCTAGCCTCTTAGCATTTAATGTGTCTGCAGGAAATGAGAAAGGAATAACACATCCTCTCCTTGCTCATTTCTTGCACTATGTTGAGCACCCATCTAATGTCTAGCACCGAGTGAGAGACCAGGGATTTTAAAAAAGAAGATGAGCAAGACTCATCTCTACCTGCAAGAAGCTCATGATCTAGGCAACTCGCAGTTTAGTACATTGGGAAAGGAGAGCTCCAAAATCTGCTTTCTTCATCAGAAGAAAAGGACAGTTTTCGCCAAACTGGTCCACATGTTTGACTTTCAATCATTCCTAACTCAGGCCAGCTGACTAATTGCTCACATTATGTCTAACAAATTTGAAAGTCTTTTAAATTTGAAAGTGCAGGATGCCTGTGCTTGGATGGATATTAATTATGAAATCACTTATGTCATAGAATTTTTCATTCAAATCAATGTGCTGCTTCAGAGGTTAAATCTGTTTGGAACACTGGTGTGGAAGTGGGATGGAGAGAGGGAAGAAGAATGTAAGGTGAAGTGGAGAGAAGAGACTGAAAGATGGAAGCATGTTCCCAAGCATTTACTCTGTTTCCTCAGGGTGAGCTCCACAATTGTCTAGCAATTTCCTAGCAATAAAATAGCTGTCTTATGGTTGATAAGCCTTTAGCATGACAGAGCAATGACCCTCGATTGGATTCTCAGATTTAAATAGCACTTTGATTCCTCGACTGGATTCTCAGATTTAAAGAGCACTTTGATTCCCATAGGGCAAATCTCTTTTCTCCTATCTTTCCTCAATAAACACTTCCCTCTTTTCTAACTCTTAACTTCCTACTGCTCCCACTCCAGTGTTTCATTGCTATGACATTATTGTTGCTACATATGCCTCTTTCTCTATTCTTTGCACATTTCTCTTCTTGTCTTGGATTTAACTAAAAGACTATTCTGTAGACCTTGCCACCCTTCATGAGTACACTGACCATGGCAATGGGCAGAGGCTATTATGTCATGGAAAGCATGTGGCTTCTACTTCAGAACCCCTCACCTTGGCCAGTCTTTTTCCAGGCCTCTCTATACAATTTTACTTTTATAATGTTATCTTTTTTTTTCATAGGGAAGGTTTCCTAAATTGTATATGCTCCAGCTCCACAGAAATTTAGGCAGACTCTTCCCATGAATTTTATTATTCAGATATTTGGCTCGCTTTCCAATTTCTTTGTTTTTACTGTTGTTTTGTGGTTCTGTAGGCAAATTGTTGCTGTGCTGGTCCTTTTATTAATGAATATTTTAATATATTTTTGTCTCCCAGGCAGCTTCTTGTGCCAGAAGCCAAGTTATCTAATAGAGCTTAATGGATGTTTCAACAATTCATATAAAATATGGTATTTTAAGCCTCTATTGCTAGACTAGATATTACAATATAGATGCTGCAAGAATATTTTCAACAAAGTATGCAGCATTTGAGCAAAGCCAAATGGTGATTCACACCATTAATAGGATTTACCCAATAACTAATATTTCAGGCTCAACAGTAACTTTGAAACCAAGCTTTTTGTGAAATCTATCGAATAACTCTGTCGGTTCCACCTCCCTCGACCTCTGCTCCCGAAATACACACACACTTGCTCTACCTCAGAGGCCCGAGGCTCTTAATATTTTAGAAAGCAGTTTGAATGAACTCTCTCTTTTTTCAGGCAGTATGATAACAATGGAAACTCTCTGACTACTAAGCCTCTGGCAACCATAAAGTCTGTGCCTTTGCTGAAGGTAGTACTGACCCAGTAATTCTTAGTCCTCTCAGGACTTCTCATTAGCCCTGTTCTCAGACAAACAGAAGTACAAGTCCGTGGTTCAGACTTTCAGATTTCCAAAACGTGATTGGGCAAATGACTTGCATTCATTCATTAATTCAACATTTTGTTTATCAGGTACTTGTTCAGGTTCTGGGAATGTAGACATGAACAAAGCAACCTAACTATATTAACATGGCAGTGAAGACCCATGGAGCAGGGCAGTGAGGTGGAGATATTGAAGGATGGGGAGGGACTGTTAAATTACCTAGAACTTTTCCTTAAAATAAATCTACAAGCTTTCAGTACCAAGCAGTTAGGGAAGGCTATTGCTCAAAGGGAATGCTGTGATAGTAGTTTGTATTACCAAATTTTATTAGATGCTGGGTCCATACAGGGGTGAGCTATATACAGTGACAGTCAACTGAATATGAACTCATTAAAAATTAAGTTTTATGTTATTCTTTCAGGTGTCATGAGAATAGCAAAACTAGCACATGCAGTTCCCAGAATCACAGCTTCATCATAAAGATGAGTCATGTTGAACTAAAGGGACCATATTTTAATGAACCAATCTGGTTACTGTAGCTCATCTACCCTCAGCAGCAGACTGCCTAGGGAACAGGAGACAATCTATTTTTCAAATGAAAAATTAGTCCCTGATGCTATCCTTCTGTTTTGAGTCCCCTCGAGGTACTATCCGCTCTGTTCCTTCTCACACATGCTCTGGCCTCTGGGTTTCCCTTAACTGAAAATAGTAGTTGCCTCTAACAGTCTCCATTGTTGTGGTTGCAATTCCCTATTTGGCATTTGTTAACAAATAAGAGTCATCAAATATTTACTGTATACCTACTATATTTATAACATGGTGGGGTTAGAAAAGAATCTTTATAAAATAACCTGTTGTCCTTGACAGGGAGTTCATGCTCTTTTGGGATCTTGGAAACACGTACACACAGAATCATCACACCAGAAGATGTGGTGTGTAGGCATTCAGAAAGGAAGTGTTGCTCCCGGGGTAGTCAGTAAGGGGAGCATTAGAAAGGAGATGGGTATGAAGTAAACCTTAAAGCACAGCTTAGGTTTTGAATAATTTCACATTTTTATGATTTTTCAAATATGCTTTAAGTTCACAAGGTAAACATTTCTTTTTAACAACAGGACAACCCGCAATTATTTTTATTTCTGATTTCAATCGATTATACTATGAGTGCATCTGATAACTGTATTAGCTCTAAGAGAGGATCCATACCTTGAATGCTTAGTTTTGAGTCTCTCACAGATTCCTGAGGTACTAAAATGTGAAGTAAGGAATCCTAAGCTGAGGCAACTGTAAGAGAAAGAAAATAAGGTGAAAGTTTATTTTCATTGATGTTGGTGAATAGGGGCAATTATATGGGTTCTGATATTCTGATGTAAAATGTTTAAAGTGTATTTGACTGTACTGTCTTCTGATAAATATTATAGGGTCTTGTTTAAAAATATATTAGTAATTGCCAACTAAGTGTTAGTTAATATATGTTATTGATGGCTAAAGTATTTGGCAAGTATCAGATATGTTTAGTTTTCACATTAAAAAGTAATAAATCTGGATTTACAGGCTTCTTGACACCCAAAACAATGGAGATGCTATCTTAAAGCATATATTCAAATAAGTGTTGTATGTTAGACAGCTAACGTTTACGTTGCTGTGACCAAGATCTCCAACAAGAGTAACTTAGAAGGGGAAAAGTTAATTTTGACTCAGTTTATGGGCAGTTATCTCCAGTGCTCTAGGACTGAGGTGAGTCTGGAGGGGCATGGTAGAGCAATCTGCTCAGCTCATGGCAGCTAGGAAGCAGAGAGTGAATGAGGAGACATGGATGAGATGGAATCCCTAAGGGCACACCCCAGTGACCTATTTCCTCCAACCGTATCTCACCTGCCTACAGTTAACACCTAGTTATTCATTCAGATTATGAGCCCATTGAACAGATTAATCCACAGTTCTCATCATATCCTCAGTGCCCAACCTCTGAGCCTTCCTGCCCTGGGGATCATGCTTTCAAAACGTGAGCTTTTCTGGAGACAATTCTAAATCCAAATCATAACAGGTTGCCCTTCTAATTTAATCCTTCATGACACTATAATCACACTTGAATAATTATGTCATCATTCACTAGATTTTCTTAAGTCAGTGTTTCTTTCTTAAAGAACCAGGGTACAGCTGCAGAAATAAATTTTCTTGTATTATTATGAAACTGACCATAATGGCTTTACCCTGCCTGATCATCTGCTTCCTTCCTTCATGTAAGGAATCTTTGCCTGGTACTCACACTGTAAATGACAAAGAGTCAGAGATCAGTGGAGCACGGATCTTGCCTTTAAGGAACTCACCAACTAGTGCAGGGAAGCAAGGAAGAGTTTGGCAAATGAACAAGAAAGGAAAGGCCATTTGAGACAGAGGAAGTGACATAAAAAGATAAGGCGGTGTGGAACAGCATGGCATTTTCAGGGAACAACAGATGGTTTGGCATGACTGGAATGCAAAATGCAAGAAGAAGAATACAGAAGATGCTAAAAAAGAAAAGTTATTTTTAGACAGACAATGAAGGATTTTTCTCACACTTAAAAGACTTCCTGTTATCAAAGATTTTATCTTTCTTGTTTGCCATGATCAGAAATAAAATTCAAGTTGTCTCTTCAGGTGTACTTTTACTAAAATTTGAGTGGAGAGAAACAGGAGAAACCAGTGCTATAAATAAGTTTAGAAGTGCAAAATGAAGTATCAGAGTGGTTTCTATTTCTAGTGAGTTAATTATTTCTCTTTTCCAGTCAAAATAATTAGGAAAATCACAGAAGTCACAGAAACTCACGCTTTGCATGCTTTTTATTAATTTTTAATGTATTATCTTATTTAAAATATGCAGCAATTTAAATAGTAGGCTTTACTTTCCCAACTTTACAAAGGGAAAGTTTGTAAAGAGACTCAGAGGAAAAAAGAAAGTTTCCTCAATTTCCAGGTTATCAGGGAAAAAAAAAATAAGATTGAAACATAGATACATTTAACACCAAAGTTAATGGCTTATACTGAGCTGGTGTTTTCCCTTATCAGATTTCTGTAGCCATTTTTAGGTTTGAACACTCTGTTCTGAAGAAATTTTAAATCAATCATTAAATAATCCCAAGTGTCAGAAAGGGAAGTTTGACAGTGACCTCCCTATGCCATAATATTCATATTAAATATCCTGGAGGTTGCCAGGGAAAGAATTTCATAACTATCTTATCTACAGCTCCTATATAAACTGCATCTTGGTCCATTGATCCTCAAATTAGGTTAAAGAACAAATGAGAATATTATAAAGTCTCTAAATGAGACAAGGCTCTGAAGTGTGACCTTAGGAAAATAAGTTAACCTCATTCACCCTTCATTCCTTATCTCCAAAACGAACAGTTTGGACTAATATTCCCAGGGGTCCCCATGCATGGTCTCAGGGTTCTGAAACTCTGGAATAAAGAGATTTTAATTCTATAGATATGGTATATGCTGGCTTAGAGGTGAGAGAACACTTCAAGTGTGATTGTTTTATAACTGCCAAATTCAGAATCAGATTTGAGAACTGTGATGTACATGTTTATTTTTAAGAGCTCTCATGGCCTGCATATTTCTGGAATATGTAGGATTTGTTACTGGTGTGATAAATCCAGTTTATAAACAGAAACCTGCTACTTAAAAAAAAAGGTGCCAAGGTGTTTAATTGTTTAATCAATAGAAATAAAATAATCAAGACTACCAAAGAATTTTGCAGAGCAGCTTGTGACACGAGTAGGCAATAGGGTAAGGGGTTGAGGATCCAGGCTCTGGGGTTTAAATTCTGGTGCTTTCTCTTTCTAACTTGAACCGTCAGCAAGTGAATTCTGTTCTCTGTGCCTTAATTATCTCACCTGTAGAAACACTTCTGCTTTTTAGAACTCTCTTGAGGATTAAATGTGTTAATGCACATATGTAACCTAGAATAGTGCCTGGTATGTATGAACACTCATGAAATGTTATTTACAATGACCATTTTGGGTAAAAGATCCTTTATTTGAATTAAAGATTCTTCAGAATTAATGAATGAAATAAGATTGAAAATACCACTGGATCTCCAGTGCCATATCAGTACCTGGCTCAGCTTAGGTATCCAACAGATACCTTGTTGAATGGAATAGGTCAAGAGTCAATGATGCTGAAAACTCTATCTTTTTCCTTTCCCAAAGGGCCCCCTGTATTTTAATGTTTCTTACGTTCAAGAGCATTACTGCATAATGCTATAAATCATTTAAAATGAGTAATAAATAATAGTTTTGGTCTCTAGACTCTGGTTCCAGTTCCTCTGTGATATGTTAAGCAGAAATAACTCAAAATCTTAGATAATTTCCTGCGGAAACAAATGTCAGGCCCTGTTTTTTTAGAGTAAAAACATCAGACCGCTACTTATTTAGACATTTCATGGCTTTTGGCAGTTCTCTTTGTTACAGCAGTAGCTCTATTGATCCAGCTGTTGCAGTTGCTACTTGGGCAGCTGCTGGGCAGCATTGCCAACTGCCTCGGATGGTTTTAAACTGATTTCAGAGAGAAAAACCTACTCAGGAATTTCAGAAATACTTAAAAGCCTCCTTCCTCCCTCATTCAATTAGAAGCGATGCTTAGAACCATAGATTCCAAATTCAGCAATCCTGCCCATCTGGCTACAAAATAATGCATATCTCAAGTAGTCTTAATTTGATAAAATCTCACATTCATTCATAGTTTTATTAATATTCATTCAGAATTAGAGATATATAAGTTGATAAGAGTTTTCACAGTTCTTGTTTTACTGAAATGCCTATGCTTTCTCCTCTACTCTTTCCCACACAGACACTGCTCCCAAGTCACTATTAAGTTGCCAGAGTGAAAAGGACAGCCACTTTATTTAATGAAATTAAGTTATTTCTCCCAATAGGCTGTAAGTCAATAACATGCTGATATGTGAGGTACCTTCTAGTTTTATACTAATTCAAATATTTATTGTTGTCTCAGTGATTTTATTGGAAGTGAAGCTTGGAAACCTGGGAATGGATTAGTCAATGAGTAAAAAAGGCACTTTTTTTTTTTTTACAACAAAAAGTATTGGTATCCAATTTAAAGTTCTCAAAAAGGGTCTGAAAGTTTTACATGAAGATCTCATGGGCTTTCTAGAAGAAAAGAGAACAACCCAGCTAGAACTTTTTTAACCAAGGTACAATGCTACAGAAACCTGTGGGAGTAAAGAAAGATGCTACCAAAATACCAGGGATGAGAAGCAGGATGGTGTTGGAAATCAGCTGTGCACAGGGTGTGGCTGCAGGATTCCCAGCCTCATGAGGGTATTGTGCTTTACTGCTATTGTGGGGTTGGAATCTAAGCAGAAATGACTCCTTAGAGAGTGAGTGAACAGTCTGCAGATAAAATAGAAAATGGAGAACAGAAAATAACTGCCATTAGCAATAGGAAGTTTCTTAAAATTTAGGTGGATTGTTGGAAAAGAAAAGTTCCTTTATTTGTTGACCCCAAATAAATGAAATAAATACCAAATTAATTAAAATTGTCACAAAGTTCTGCCTGTGGTTCTCTTAAGAGGCATGGAAATAGTTTCTAAATAGAAACTCTCCATTATTCTTGATCTGTTGAATTAGAGGGCTAAATACCAGTCATGCTGAAATTAGAAATTTAAATTCGCACACTTATTGCACTAATGTAGAAAGTGTTCATGTCATCACAAAGTCCTCATTCAATCCATACTCTCAATCAGAATGCTCTTTTACACAAAGCTCTATAACCAATCCCACACTATCTATTAAAGACAGGTATTATTTGGTATCCACTCCCATCCCCTCCTCTCCCAACCTCCACACATCATTTCTGATGAGGATAGTTACATGCCTTAGTTCTAAGTGCTAATGGGAAACACTTCCAAATTAGGGCCTTTCCCTTTACAGTCTTTAACTTCTGTAGTCATAGGAACTCAAAGGAACCACTGTGAGCACTGTGCCATTTTCAAAAGCAACCATGTCTCTAACCAAAAAGAATTAATCGAATTAGCATTGCACTTAATTTCTTCTGCCTTTACATTTAAGATACAGCTACTGTCTTTCATTCGCCCTCCCCACTTCATGTAAGAATATAAGCTTATTTTGATAAAATTGTATTTTAAATGAAAAAAAAAGTATTTTTTGTTTAGTTACAGATTGAACTTGTGCCAGCAGTTCTAGTGCATTCTGAAATACACATCAGTCACCTCGTGCGTATTTGAGTAGCATCAGCACTTCACCCCTATTTGAAGAGACATA